AACAATATTTTTCAACAATAAAGAGCTCACGCCTCATGCCAGAATAAATCATCAATAATATTTTTCCCCAATAAAGAGTTCACGCTCCATCATAATGAGTACGAAAATCTTACAAAAATATTCAGGAATAAATAATTAAGGAAAATAATTTTTTAAAATCTTTAATACGTTGCTTCAATATTAAGTTTAAAAATGTCAAATACTTCATATTAATAATATTTAATATAAAGAAAATCAACCTTCAAATAATGCACAGAATAAAAGAAACCAAGTTTCAACTAAACAGGCAAAACAATTAGCAGGAAAAAGTCAAACAAATTTAAAGTATATATCTCAAATCAATGATGAAGAATATAACAAGATAAAATAATTTAATAAAAGCGCAACAGTGATCTAAAAAATTTTAAAATATAATATTTCACATTTAGCTCGTGTACACACTCGTCACCTCGTGTACATAATTTTTAACACATTTCAATAATCACATCAATACCAATCCTAGGGAAAATTTTCCCCACACAAGGTTAGACAAGTCACTTACCTCGACTTGCTCCAATTTAACTAAGTATTATGCTTTTTTCTCGATTTTTCGAATCTGATCGACTCGTATCTAGTCATAATTAATTCGATACAGTCAACAAAAATTATAGGAATCCATTTCATAAGAAAATACTATATTTTTCAATAAAAATCGAAATTATCTCAAAATTGCATGTGGGGCCCATGTCTTGAAATCCGGTAAAACTCACAAAATCCGATAACCCATTCAATTGCGAGTCCAACCATACCAGTTTTACTCAAATCCGACTCCGAATCGACACCGAAATCTCAAAAATTCGTTTCTATGAGATTTCTAAAAATTTCTCAAATTTCTATCTCAAAACACTAATTAAATGGTAAAAATAATGATATATTCATGTATATTGACCAAATCTGAGTTAGAATCACTTACCCAAATATTTTTCCTTGAAAATCTGTCAAACATTGCTTCTGCTCAAGCTCAAGTTCGTCAAAAATGGCAAATGAGACGAAATCCTCAGTTTTATAAACTTATAGATCTGTCGGAGCTAGACCTCGGTCATGGCCTTCGATCATGGCTTCGATCTTTATGGCCTTCGATCACTGGCCTTGGTCATAGCCCTCGATCCTGGGCCTTCGATCAGTGGCCTTCGATCATTGGCCTTCGAGCTGGCCTTTGATCACTGGCCTTCGAGCCTTGCCTTCGATCATGGCTCTCGAGCCTGCCTTCGATCATGGCTCTCGAGCCTGCCTTCGATCATGGCTCTCGAGCCTGCCTTCGATCATGGATCTTGAGCTTGTCTTCGATCATGGCTCTCGATCCTGCCTTCGATCATGGCTCTCGAGCCTGCCTTCGATTATGGCTCTCGAGCCTTGCCTTCGATCCTCGGCTCGATTTCTGGGCTTGATTTCTGGGCTCGATTTCTAGCCTTCGATTATTTTTGGGCTCGACTTCTGGGCTCGATTGCTCAGAAGAAGAAAATTTGCAGCAGCTATCTAAGTCCCATTTTTGATCCGTTAACCATCCGAAACTCACCCGAGGCCCTCGGGACCTCTACCAAATACACAAACAAGTCCTAAAATAACATACGAACTTATTTGAAACCTCAAATCTTATCAAACAACGCTAAAATCACGAATCATGCTCCAATTCAAGCATAATGAAACTTAGAATTTTCAAGTTCTACATTCGATGTCGAAACCTATCAAATCAAGTCCGATTGACCTCAAATTTTGCACACAAGTCATAAATGACATAACGTAGCTATGAAAATTTTCGAAACTGGATTCCGACCCCGATATCAAAATGTCAACCCGGTCAAACTTTCAAACTTTAAATTTCTATTTTAGCCATTTCAAGCCTAATTTCACTACGGACTTCCAAATAAAATTCCGATCAATGAACTTAAACTTTTATTTTTCATCAAAATTCCATATCTCAGGCTAGGGACATCAGAATTTGATTCTGGGCATACGCCCAAGTCCCAAATTACGATACGGGCCTACCGAAACTGTCAAAATACTGACTCGAGTCCGTTTGCTCAAAATATTGACCAAAGTCAACTCAGTTGAGTTTTAAAGCTCTAATTCATATTTTAATCCATTTTTCTCCTAAAAAAACTTTTCAAAAAATTTTACGGACTGCGCACGCAAGTCGAGTAATGATAAATAGTGCTTTTCGAGGTCTTAGAATACAAAAATAATTATTAACTTTAAAAATGACATTTTGGGTCATCACAAAAGGTTAGTAGGAGCGCTTCTGGCTCAAGAAAACAATGAAGGCAAAGAAAATGCACTTTATTACTTGAGCAGGATGATGACGCCAAATGAGCTCAAGTATTCACCTATTGAGAAGTTATGTTTGGCACTTGTCTTCTCTATTCTGAAGCTGAAGCATTACTTCCAAGCTCACGTTATGCGACTCGTCTCAAGAGCATATCCTATCAAATTTTTCATGTCTAAACCAGTCCTAAGTGATCGATTAGCGAGGTGGTACCTCCAATTTCAACAATTTGGAATTGTGTATGTTCCTCAAAAGGCGGTAAAAGGACAAACATTAGCAGACTTCCTAGTTGACCATCCGATTCCAGATGATTGGGAGTTGTCTGATGAATTGCCTGATGAAGATGCAATGGTCATAGAAATTCAACCTTCTTGAAAGATGTATTTTGATGGCGCTGCGCATCGTGAAGGAGCTAGCGCTGGAATAATGTTTATCACTTCTCAAGGAGAAGTTTTGACATATTCTTTCACTCTGACACAATGGTGCTCCAATAATGTTGCTGAATATCAACCGCTCATACTTGGGCCTGAAATGGTTGTGGATATCAAATAATTGCAACTACAAGTTTTTGGAGACTTCAAGTTAGTGATCAGTCAGATTTTGGGTAGCTATGAGGTCAAGAAGGCAGAGTTGGTGCCATATCACAAATATGCTCAAATATTGGTAAGTTGGCTTTGAGAGGTAACTATTCAACACATGCTGAGAAAGGAAAATAAGAGAGCTGATGCATTAGCAGCCTTAGCTTCTACATTATCTTTGACTGATCAGACACAAGTCGTTGTTTGCCAAAGATGGGTAGTTCCTCCACCAAATGACTATGAGGAAGAAGAAAGCAAAGTTGAGCATCTTGCTTCCATTCTTGAGGTTGAAATTGAAGATTGGCGATAACCATTAATCGATTATCTTTATTATGGGATATTGCCGGAAAATCCCTGAGGGAAGACAGAAATCAAAATGAGAGCCCCTCGTTTTATTTATTATAAGAATACACTCTACAAATGATCATTTGATGGAGTGCTCCTACGTTGTTTGGAGGCTGATGAATCCCTTCAAGCCCTGCAAGAAGCACACTCTGGAGTATATGGTGCGCATCATTCTGGGCCAAAACTTCATTTTCACATAAAAATAATGGGGTATTATTGGCCACTATGGTGAAAGATTGTTTGGATTACGCTCGAAGGTGTAAAGCTTGCCAATTCCATGCTAACTTCATACATCAACCACCTGAAGTATTATACCTACCGGTTGCTTCTTGGCCTTTTTATGCTTAGGGTTTGGATGTTGTTGGTCCATTTCCAAAGTCTTCTGGTAGACATCTATATATTTTGATCGCAACTGATTACTTCTCGAAGTGGGCTGAAGCTGTTTCTCTTAAGGAAGTAAAGAAGGAAAATGTGGCTAACTTCATCCGAGTCAATATTATCTATCATTTTGGCATTCCTCGATATATATTGACGGACAATGGTAAGCCATTTGATAACAAGCTGATGAATTAAATATGTGATCTTTTTGGCTTCAAGCAACGCAATTCCTCTATGTACTATGTTGTTGCCAATGGACTTGCTGAAGCATTTAACAAGACGCTCTGCAACTTGTTAAAAATGTTGTCTCTAAGTCTAAGAGTGATTGGAATGAGAGAATGGAAAAAGCTCCTTGGGCATATAGGACTACATATCGCACACCAACGTAAGTGACTCCTTATTCACTTGTTTATGGAGTTGAAGCTATCCTTCCACTCGAGCGTCAAATACCATCATTGCGGCTTGCCATTCAAGAAGGACTCACTGATGAAGAAAATGCTCGATTACGCCTTGAAGAACTAGAGGCTCTTGATGAAAAGAGGCTAGAAGCTCAACAAAGCCTTGAATGTTATCAAGCTCGCCTGTCTCGATCTTTTAACAAAAGGGTGCGCCTTAGATATTTCCAAGTGGGTGACCAAGTTCTTTTGGTCAAAAGGCCTATTATTACCTCTTGTCGATACAAGAGGAGGGGGGGGGGATTCTCTGCTAAGTGGGATGGACCATATATTGTACAAGAGGTATACTCAAGTGGCGCTTACAAGATAGTTGACTCAGAAGGTTTGCGGATTTGCCCCGTCAATGGGAAATTCATGAAGAGATATTATCCTTGAAGAAAACAAATATGCTCCTTAACGCATGAACATAAGCAACATGTTACTTCTGGCCCGCAAGAGTATAAATTGTGCACGGTCCAAAACAAAAAAGTCCACTAGGTTGAAAACCTCGAAAGAGGTGGCCTAGGCAAATGTTAGGACATGCAAAAAAAAAAAGGCTGCTAGATTGAAAACCTCGAAAGAGGCGGCCTAGGCAAAAGTTAGGATATTAAAAAAAACTCACCCATTTCGAACTGCGGAATGACTTGATCCTCTTCACCGAGGTACGTAGACAACTTAGAGTTTCATTCTAAGTTTAGTCATATGAATTCAAAAATACATATTACCCAAGGCATTATTCAAATGAGGCATGATGGAATATAATTCACTTGATTGACACTTGAAAATTAGGTGTACATGTATTCTTTCGTTGAACTCTCTGTTTTATCTTGATGGCTCAATGAGGCAACCCTTCCATGTCGAATTAAGGTGTTTGATGGAATGATTGTAGTTATTTTAATAAGAGGCTAAATATTCAAGTTGAAGGCTCCAATTCTAAGTCAAGTTGATTTTGTCAAGTCTATTACATCATCGATTTGAAGTATTCAAGCCCGTTAGGTCTTAAAGTTGCAGTATTCAAGTCCGCCAAGTCTTCAAATTCATAAATTATTTAAAAAAACTCACTCATTATAAACTGCATAATGACTTGATCCTCTTCACCGAGATTGGTATCTTTGAGACAATTATAGACTTTAGCAAGCTGCAAAGTTTTCAAGACCGTCATGTCTTTGAGCTGAATTCTTCAAGTTTGCTAAGTCGTCAAGTTGAATTCTTTCTATTTTCTATATCATTGATTTGAAGTCTCTAGCATGCTAAATCTTCAAGTTGAAGTTGAGTTAAATTCTTCTAGTCCGCTAAGTTTTCAACTATCCAAGTCTGCCACGTCTTCAAGTTGAATTCTTCAAAGTGGCTACTTCTTCAAGGTTAACTCTTATAATTTAACCTTCAAGTTGAATTCTTAAAATCTACCTAAATCTTCGAGTTGAAGTCTTCATATCCACCAAGTCTTCTAAATTTTTCAAATATGCTAAGTGATGATGAGACCTTCGAATTCGTCAAATCTTCAAGTTAAAGTCTTCAATTTTGGGAAGTCCTCAAATTGAGTCATCAAGTTAAAGTCTTCAAATTCATCAAGTCTAGTTAAAGCCTTCGAATTCGCCAAAAGTTAAAAGTCTTCAATTCTGCAAAATTTTCAAGTTGAATCATCAAGTTCAGTCTTCAAATCCACTAAGTCTTCAAGTCGAAATCTTCAAGTAGAAGCCTTCAAGTCTGCCATGTCTTCAAGTTGAAATCTATAAGTTAAATTCTTTCAAGCACCAAGTCTTTAATTGAAAGCCAATAAGAAGCCCCCATAATAGTCTTGAAGTCTTCAAATTGATATACCCTTCAATTCTTTAGTTGGAAGTTTCACTATATCTCCAAGTGTATGGTAAAAACCTTTGATATAGTCTGCACCATCTTTAAATATTTATATCTTGAATTATTTGAAGGAAGGGTTTAATATATCTTCATATCTTCAACTGGAAGTATTTAAAATGTTGGCTTGCATGACTTGATTTATGTTGTAGAAAAAAGATTTTTCGACTGTGTGGTTATCTTTACTAAAGTAGTATCTTTGGAATTGATTTCTTCTTCTACCTGCAAAAAAAAAAGGAAGGAAAAAAACCAAATATATAGGAGATCATAAAATTACCTATGAAGATTGAAGTTGAAGAGATATTCTTAGTGGTCAGCTTTTTGAAAAAAAATCATGCTTCATACAATCTTGATTCATGCATCTAGAAATGAGGACGAGTTTTCGTTCTTATGCACCAAAAGGTCAAATCTTTTGGCGATAAAGTAAAATCTGCAAGTTAGACTCTATAATGATCTTCGTCTTGGATAAAATATAGTCTTCAGCTTAGACGATGTAGTGGTCTTAGCCTCGGACAAAGTAAAATCTTCAGCTTAGATGGTTGTCTTCGCCTTTGCAAAATAGTCTTCAGCTTAGACGGTGTAATGGTCTTAGTCTCGGACAAAGTAAAGTATTCAGCTTAGATAGTTGTCTTCGCCTTGGACAAAATATAGTCTTCAGCTTAGACGGTATAATGGTCTTATCTTCAGACAAAGTAAAGTCTTCAGCTTAGATGGTTGTCTTTTGCCTTTGCAAAATATAGTCCTCAGCTTAGCCGGTGTAATAGACTTTGCCTCGTATAAAGTAAAGTATTTGGCTCAGACGGTGTAATGGTCTTCACCTCAGACAAAGTAAATTTTTGCCTCAGACGGTGTAATGATCTTCACCTCAGACAAAGTAAAATCTTTGGATCAGACGGTGTGATGGTCTTCGCCTCAGATAAAGAAAAGTCAAATATGTAAATAAAGTAAGATCTTTGGCTCAAACTGTGTAATAGTCTTCACCTCAGATAAAGTAAATTTTTGCCTCAGACGGTGTAATGGTCTTTGCCACATATAAAGAAAGTCAAATTCTCAAATAAAATGAAGTCTTTAGCTTAGACGGTGTAATGGTGTTCGCTTCAGATAAAATAAATCTTTGGCTCAGACAATGTAATGGTCTTTGCCTCAGATAAAAGTAAATTCTTTGGGTTAGATGATATAATGGTCTTTGCCATAGATAAAGAAAGTAAAGTTTTCAAATAAAATGAAGTCTTTAGCTCATACAGTGTAATGGTATTCGCTTCGGACAATAAATTTTTGGTTTAGACAGTGTAATGATCTTTGCCTAAGATAAGGTAAAATCTTTAGCTTAGACGGTGTAATGGTCTATGCCTCAAATAAAATGAAGTTAAATCTTCAAACAAGATAAAGTCAATTTCTTGACGGTGTAATGATCTTCACCTCAGGCAAAGTAAAATCTTTGGCTCAGACGGTGTAATGGTTTTCGCCTTAGATAAAGTAAATTTTTGGCTCAGACGGTATAATGGTCTTTGTCTCGGATGAAGTAAAATCTTCAGCTTAAACAGTGTGATGATTTTCGCATGGGACAAAGTAAAGTTTTTGAATTAGACGGTGTAATAGTCTTCACATATATCATGCAATGTATAGTCTTCGACTTAAATGGTGTAATGATCTTTATCTCGGACGTTGTAAATTCTTCTACTTAGACATCGCAAAATCTTTGCCTTGACCAAGAAATAATCTTCGCCTCAAATGGGATAAAGTAATTCAAAGAACTTATATAATAACTATTGTTTCCTCCTTTGAACCTGAAAAGAAATGGCAACAAAGAGAGAATAAAAGAAATACAAGAGATGGGAAGGGATTAAATTCCTTTCTTTCAAAGATAAATGCAGCATGCAAAAGTGCAGCAAATTCCACCAAAGAAGCTTCCCGCAAACAATAATGAAAGGGAAAATCCATACAAGACAAAAGAGAAATAAAGAAGTCTTACATGGAAAACTAATAAATAAATTCTCCTAGTTCAAAGGAGTGAACCTGCAAATTGTGAAGATGAACTCAAGCTTATGACATCGTCAAGGGAAAACAAATGACAGTGAGTAGAACCCGCAGAAAGATTGGGATGCGCTATGAGTTTGAAGGGACTTGACTCTTATATACATGCCCAAAGGAGTTCTCCTAATCCATTAAGATGTGTAGTGACTATAATCTCTTCAACAAAATGAGATATTATCTCCTAAAAATAGGAGGGCAGTTGCATGGGGAGTTATCCGTTCCCAACAAAAAAACTAGATAAAGAGGGACTGAGGTGATCTACTTTAAAGACGGTTAGGTGATCTAAATTCAAATACTAAGTCTCCTCGTTAAATCACATGCTCGCCGAATCACGCAAGATCAGGAAACAACATAAATTCGTTGCAAACTAATAACGAGAAAATGACGTGATCTTGCATAGAATATGGTGTTCAAATGCCATATACAACTGATGGTGGGTAAACTTACTGATTTGCTCAAGATTCATAACTTTAACATTATTATTTAATTGTTTAAGTATGAATTGAAAGGTTAAAGCCACTAGCAAATGACAAACAAATTATATTGTATATTTTAGAAGGAAATTGACGTAACTAATTTTATGGACTTGGCAGCATTGACAAAGTTTCATTAGATTTTTCTCTTAAATGGATGAACGTCATTGGTAATTTAATACTAATCTTCAAAGGCCAACTACCACAAGTCTTGAAGTATGGGGCATTTGTAAGCACATGAATTTTGTGGAATTAAAATTCATTTTAAGTTTGGATAAATTCCTACATTCAATAAATGTTAAGCTCAAATTAAAATTAATTATTTAAGTCCACCATGGATTTAATTAAAGTATATTTATTTTATTTGGGCCAGTCCATTTAATTGGACTCCAAAAGACGAGCCCATTTTACTAGCACAAAGTCCAAATGGCTAGTAGCCCGTCTTAAAGCCCCGGCTCATGCCACATGTCAAGTGACGTTGTAATCCAAGTCAACAGAACGAGCCAATAAAATCATGACATGCGTCAAATGATGTGGCAATCCAAGCCAAATAAATGAGCCAATGAAATCATGACATATGTCGAAAAAAGGGTGGCATACCAAGCCAAATCAACAACCAATAGAGTTTTGCTAAGTGTCTAGATAGTATTGGTCAATTCAAACGGATCAATCAAATCGCAGAGCCACACCACTCTCTACAATTATAAATAGAGGTCTTCATAAAGCTAGAAGACACCATAAGTGATAACAAGAAGCAAGCAAAGAGCTCGTGGATCAAACACCGCACATTTCTCTACAAGCTATAAGTTCAAGCACTTAAGCACTCAAGCTACAAGTTCAAGTTCAAGTTCAAGATCAAGATCAAGAATGAAGCCAAATCAAATACCAAGGCGTTCAAGATCAAATTACTTGTTCGTGATCAAATCCAAATTCAAGTTCAAGAATGAGATTCAAGACCAAGCTTTATAAGCCCTTGAATCAAAATCAAGCTCACTAATACATTGTTGAAGAATCAGAGGAATATCATAGAGATTGTAACACTCATTATTTATTGAAATCAAATACTACATTTATTATGCAATTTTTCAGTCTTGATTATTTATTTTTCTCGACGCGAACATTTATTGTTATAGTTACATCTTCATCATTGACCCTCACAATTGACATTAAATGAGGGCACGATCCTAAGACCTTTTTCCCTAGGCATAGCTATAAATAGTGAGCTCAGTTACCATGGTAAAGAACACAAAATTTCTGGCAAGAGCATATATTATATTTTATACAAAGCTTTATATAATTTTACTCTTTCGCTTTTTGATATTATCATGGTTGTATTCGGAAACCCTGTTCATGGAATCATCATATTTGCTATTTCATCTACATTCTAAGGCTAAGTTTTGTGTATTTTCTTCAATTATTATATTATTTCAGGATCAAACTAGTTTACTTGTCTAGAAATTACGTATAAATTCAACTGTACCATTTTACGGGTAAACAGTTTGGCGCCCACCGTGGGGCCTAGACAATCGTGCCATTAAATTGATCCTTTTTTATTTTTACTAACGTGTTTTGACTACTGTCTTAGAAAAAATCGCAAAAAATGGTAGATAACACTGTTAATGATGCACACAACCCTGAAATTCGAGGGGATCAACCTCATTTCGAGGACTCAATCAGTGACACCCGCAATGAAGGGAATGACGCCACGTCGGTGCATGACAGACGGTACCCTCGACAGGTTCGGGAGAGAACTCCCGATGATGCTGACGAGGAGCAAGTAGCGGATGTTGTGAGGATCCTGCAAGAGAAACATGCAATCATTCTAGGCCATCTCACGTGGTAGGATCATGTTATGACGGAACTGAAGCAGGCACTATCAGGTGCTTCGAATAATGCAAACAGGCGCGATCTGATTCCTCCCGTTATTCCCGCAGACCAAATAACATAGAGAGTCGATAACAACACTCCCAGGGGTAAAGTTGGCTCCGATGGGGAAGGGGGGAGCAGATCAGGTCTTAATAACGAGAACGATTCAAAGATGAGCTTTTACGGTTAATGAGGGAAGTAAACGCCCGCATAGAAAAAATTCCGAGCGCACCACCAGTATTGAAAGGCCCGAACTCGAAAAAGTATGTTCAATTACCGTACAAGCCAAGTGCAGCACCAGTACTGATCCTGAAGCGTTTCAAAATGCCTGAGGTTCCAAAGTATGATGGAACTTCAGACACACAGGAACATATTACCACCTACACAACAGTGGTGAAAGGAAATGATCTAGCTCCTCACAAAATTAAATCTGTGTTGCTAAAGAAATTCGGCGAAACTCTCACGAGGGGATCCCTAACTTGGTATTCATTACTGCCCAAGCATTCCATAGATTCTTTTGAGATGCTCGCGGATTCTTTCATTGAAGCTCACGCCGGGGCCAGAAAGGGGCAAGACCGGAAGGCCGACATATTCAGAATCACACAAGGAGAATTGAAATTGTTACGAGAGTTTGTCACCCGATTCCAGAAAGAAAGAATGTTGCTCCCGGCCGTCCTGGATGAATGGGCAGCTGAAGCAATCACCAAAGGATTGAATCCAAGAAGTTCAAACGCTTTCCGGAAGCTGATGGAAAGCCTGCTTGAGTTTCAAGCAACAACCTGGGCAGATGTTCACAACCGGTACGAGTCAAAGAAAATGATCTAAGATGACCAGGTCGGTTATACATCATTAGCCAAAGGACGGGATAAGAACAGAGAAAAATTAAAGGATGACTACGACGTGAATAAGCAGACTTCGAGGGGTTGATATTTGCCCTACGAGCATACCGAAAGCCGTGGCAAAAATTTCCGAGCAGCAAACAAGTTCACCGCTGACGGAGGGATCGATCGTGGTCGAAATAATAGATTGCTTCAAGATAAACAAACGTCGGGGCCTCGAGACCTTTCTTACCCAGGTTGTCAGAATATAACTTCAACATCAGTGTAGTGAAACTGGTGTCAGCCATGAGGAACATTAAAGAAGCATGATTCTCGAGACCTATGAGGTCCGATTCCTACCAGAAGGATCCCAATTTATGGTGCGAATACCAAAGAACGAACGTTCACCGGACAGGGGATTGCCGACATCTTCGGGATGAGGTGGCAATGCCGTTAAAGAATGGTCATCTCCGAGAGTTCTTAAGTGATCGAGCTAAGAATAATTACGGTCGCAACAACGCGGAATCTTCAAAAGCAGGAGAAGACGCCCTACGCCAGACGATCAACATGATCTTTGGGGGGAACAAAATTAATGGGGTCACCTTTTCGGCGGAAAGGAAGACTAAAGTATCGATAACTCACAGCAAAAGACTCTGGGAGGACGATATCACTTTCATGGAGGAAGACGCATGCGGATTGCTGCTACCACACAACGACGCACTGGTAATCTCTTTAAATATGTTTAAAATTAAGCGTGTTCTAGTAGATCCAGGAAGTTCGGCTAATATCATACAATGGAGAGTATTAGAACAAGCTAAACTCACCGGAAGCATTATTCCGGCAACAAAACTCCTCGCTGGATTCAACCTTGCGAGCGTGACGACCTGGGGAGAGATCCTGCTGCTCACGAACACTAAAGGAGTAATGAAAACAACTCTCTTTGAAGTAGTGGATGGTGATATGGGATACAACATCATCTTAGGAAGGCCATGGCTGCACGAGATGAAAGTCGTACCTTCAACGTATCACCAATTACTGAAGTTTCCAACGCCCGAAGGAATCAACCAAATAAGAGGTGACCAACTGACAGCAAGGGAGATGAATGCAATCTCAGTTTCCAACAGCAAAGAGAAGGAGCACATGACATATCAATTACAGGAACTGGCACCTAATCCCGAGTTAGAAGAGGTTATTCCAGCGGTAGAATCGTCAGAACAATATCAGGTGCAGAGATATTTCCATGTTCCGGAAGAAACGGACGCAATGAAATCCACGACAGAGGAATCAGAGTAAATGTCATTATTCGAAGAATTTTTAGAAAGAAAATTTCACTTGGGAACAGGACGGCACCCAGAGCTCAGGTTTGGTTTTGTTGTATTCCTTAAAATTAACGCTGATTATTTTGCATGATCACACGAGGATATGACAGGTATCCCGACAGAAATAGCCGTGCACAAGCTAAGTTTGGATCCCAACGTACCAGTGGTACGACAGAAGAAGCGCCTTATTGCCGAGGCTAGGAATAAATTCATCAAAGAAGAGGTAACCCGCTTGCTTAAAATTGGTTCGGTCAGAGAGGTAAGATATGAGATTGACTGGTCAGGTTGGCTTTCTGCGGTCGCATAAAAGTGAGATGCAACCGCACTTCCTCTAATTGTACGGACCGCACATTCCTGAGTGCGACCACACTCTTGCTCTTGGACTGGATTTGGGCTGCATTCTGCATATCGCACATTTATGAGTGCGGCCGTATTTTGGCATCCTTCTGCCGCACATCTTTAAGCTCCCAAACTACAAGTCTCTAAATCTAGTCTTCTGCGGCCACACAATAATTGTGCGGTCCGCACTCTGTGAAGAAATTCTATCAGTGCATCTTCAGAGTTTGCGGCCGCACACAGTATTGTGTGGTCCGCACTGTAGCCCTTTTTGCCTTGTTTTGATTCTTGTCCAATTTTACTCCTTTTTGAGTTGATTTTCACTTCTTTAGCTCG